TATAATGTCTGTCGATTAATCAATATTATTCTATATAACATAGATAGATTTTATATAACATATTTTTTTCCTATATATTTACAAATTACTTAAGTTCCTACATTGCTGTCCTAAGTATACTTACTTCAATTTTTGTGTCGGCGATAGAAGAGGCAGTTAATTGAATGAGAAGGAAAAACTGGGTTATTGTAGTTACTTGAAAAAATTCGCCATAGAAATATCTGTATCGATAACAGATTATTTTTAACAAAACAATATAGATTTTACCCGACTAAAGTAGTATTTTTTTGATTGAATGAGAATGTACTTACAATTGATAAAAAAACATGTATGTACGAATTTCTTTCAACAACGTGTAGTAAAATAAATATACGAGTATAATACAAATATCGTTTAGAAAAAATTAATAGGCCTTTTATGGGAATGGACATTATATGATACCGAAGGATATTTTGAATTGGCCTTTTAATAAGTTTAAAACTGTTAAAGTAAAAACACTTTTTGAACAAAGTTTATTACACACACTAAACCAGGGTTTCTTAAACTTTTTATAGTCACGGACCACATTCACATTTTAAACAATTCCACAGATCTCTGTCTAAAAATATTTTGCCTGATTGTAAAATTTAGCAAAGGTAAAAGAGGTTTTTTTTTATTTAAAAAAAAAGCTTTTATTGGTAGTTTCAATAGATTCTATTGAATTCGCCGCCTGACAATGACGATGCGTCTCGTCGTGTTTATAATACAATTTCATAATATTTTTATAGTTAACTGTCCTAATGTGGACCCCTGATACATATGTTATGGACTTCTAAGGGATTCGTGGATCTCACTTTAAAAAACTCTGTACTAAACGATTACTTGAATGACAAATGTGCATGGTGTTAGTAGATTAGGCACGGGCTTTTATCGATCATGTAATTTTAGACATGTAAATATACATTATTTAAATAAATACACATAATGTTAACCATAATTTAAAAAAGTAACTGTTGAGTTTGTTGCGTCAACAGACAACAACTTTCCGAAGCTTGCATCAATAAAAAAAATTACGATTTAAAAGTACTTGTAATGAAGACTATTTGAATAAAAATGATTTGAATTTGTATTTTAGTGTATTTACAAGAATCTAAAACTGCATAGGTACTGTCATGTAAAAATATTTTAACTATTAAAGTGTAGTCTAGTTATTATAAAATTTTAAGTCATAGTGTCAATTAATAGAATAATGTTCCTCGTAATTTTATTTTTATCATTTTGTGTAGTAGAGAAAAGATTATGACTCAGTATTTTTAGTTTGGTAAAAATAGCAACTGTCTATACCTCAATAAATTCACAGATTAAGCATAAAGTTAAATGCATATATTTGCATATTACATGCATATCCATAGAGTACCTACATAGTTATCTATTTTGCCAAGTGAGTGAAATTGTAGGTACTTTAACGTTAATCTTTAAGCGTTAATCCCTATAGCGTTAATATAACAACAATAATTAAGGATTACTGTGTAATCGTATTTTAATTTGATCTCTGACTTAATAAATTGTTATTAGGTAAATGACCAAATAGATAATTTTCAGTTTGTTCAAAGTTTTGTGTACATTTATGTCCTTATAAAGTATCTATTATCAATTCGCTACATAGCTTGTTTAGGATGAAATTTATCAGCTCAACACTGTATCGGTTTCGCAGTATCTATCAAAGTTCAGGCAAATATTGTACTTGGTCTTAAACTAACTGTTCATGTAAACAGACTTGTTGACGAAATTACGTTATCGTTCGTTTTCGTGTTAAACTTATAAATCTTTTTGGCTATTTATCTTCAAAGTAAAGATATAATTTTTGTTAAATTATTACCTGTACCTACGAATACGTTACTTACTATTATAATTAATTAAAATTATATATTACAACCATGCAACGGAGTCTCAACAGGAGAATTTTTATGGTCTAATAAAACGAGAACAAATATTAAGTTATATTTACCCTTCTGCTCCGCACGCGTTCTGCTTTGGTTACTATATAATTTAATTTTTACATTTAATTTTTTTAATTAGTTTTAAGGTTGATTGTATATATCATAGAACTATTGATGTCTACTATAAGAACCATAATAAGGTTTTGCAGTTTAAAAGTGTTAGTTATTTTATAACTGTAACTCTCGTAAAGTGTATTACCATGCAAAAATCATAACGAATTTTTTTATCATTTATAACTGATATACAATGATATCCTACAGCTAAGAAAATAATATTATGACATTCTCCATTTTATTCTCAAGATATTCTAAGAGATGATTAGGGAAAGCAAGTGCAAATGCGCAAGAGAAGGAAAACTAGAAATAAAACATGAAGAAGTGTCGTTGGTGTTGAAATATGAAGCTTCGATAAACTACTCAACACAAGTACAATCTTTATGTCCTGCCCACAGGGCGTTTGATGGAAAACAGGCTGGAATAACAAAATTCAACACAATTATAATGGCAGTGTTGCTGTTATAATTGTGTTAAGTTTCCAACAAAATCTACACTGAGCTACTGGCTATAACGGCAATAGTATGCTAATATTCTTAATTTGGAAGGAGGGACCCCGTCTAGTAGGGCTAGTGGGACGTTAAATGGGTGTTATTATAAAAAAATATATATAATGAAGAACCTAGTAGTACTATAAAATTAGAAAATTGGGAAATTTTCATAGAACGAAGAGATATTTTCTATAAAATGGACACTGCACGCTTCTGTTCCTTTAGGTAATGTCGCTTGTGAAATCAACTTATATACCTATAACAAGATGAAATACCGTCAGAATAAGTATTTTAATTGCTGGCTTTATCCGGATTATGTCTAAGCTGAAGTAATGCCGGCTCTTTGTGGTCTAAATCCATCTTTGTCATTTCTTCTCAGCATTCTTTAAATCTATGTTGCTAGCGCTATTATTTATACACTTTTTTATAAGAAATTTACTAGTTTGATGATTTGCTTTGTTATTCGTCCACCATATTGCCAAAGAGCCATATTTTAAGGTATTTCTCTGATTTTGTGCAAATTACATGGCCGTCATGTAATTTATATTTATATATGTATGCTTTATTTAAGAATTTTGTAAAATATGGGCAGGACTTAGATACACAATAACGATATTATATAATAATTATTCATTCAATTTTGTCTGTGAAACATAAATATTGGTTTTTTCTTTACTTTGTTATAATCAATTGAAAATCAGGAAAGAAAATTAATGAAAAACAAAATTTATTATCATATTTATTTTATTTAAAAAAAAATATATGTACAATATCAGTAAACCATCTCTCTTATCTCTCTGGTGCTGAGATTTCGTCTTGATTATGAGCTGTACCACATGTATCGCATCTCAACTTGAATTCCTATAAATAAAAAATATACATAGGTATAAAATAATACAAATTATAATAATAAGTGATATCTACTAATTGGCTGGCGCTCAAGTTATACCCAGTGTTATAAAAGATAGTGTAATTTTAAAAATGCAACTAATCATTACGGAATTTGACATACCCGTTATATTTGAATGTAAGTAGCGTAAACAACACGTATTATGTGGGATGAACATAGATTATTTTTTAAACCAGGTGAATGAACACATACTAGTTACGCGATCGAAGTTGTACTTAAATATAATAACAGTAATAAGTAAGTTTGTAATTATTGTAACAGTAATAGGATAATATGTAATTAAAGGTGTTTTTGTATTCAAAATTAGATGTACTCGTAGATTATTTCTTAATCAAACTTAGTAACTCATAATTAAACTAGGATGACAAAGTAAATGCACAAAAAAAAAAAAAACTTACCATATTGTGCAGTTGCCTTATGTAGTTCATAGCAACTTGTTGACAATTAGTATAGTGTAATCCTGATAAATCACTCATATAGTTTGCAGCAATGCCAGCTAATAATTCAAGATCCGACGGACTATTTGGTTCAAAAGACTTGAAATCAAATGGTTTGTATTTAAGGTTCTCAATTGGTGGTTCTATTTCTTGGATATCAAAATCCTCTTCTGTTTCTTGAAAGTCCACCATTTTTTATAACAACACTTCTTCAACAGACAACGAGTGCAAATGATTGCATTAGGGAAAAATATTTTAAGTAAGTCTACCAAGCAAGTGATGAGTGGGAATGTAAGAAGATAAGATTCTATTGTTTTTACAAATGAGTTGACAGGGTTTGTACCCGAGTTAAGTGCATCTATTGTTGTTTGTGTAGATGCTTAGTTAATGATTGTTGATAACAGTTATTTGAACAAACGATAATTTGTTTTGGTACTTATATTTAAGTAAACTTACCGATCGAGTAATTATACCATTAGTGAAAGCAAAAATATTCTATTATTGTTATAAATGAGCTATCAGGAATTTTACTTGAGTTTAGTTTATTTATTGTTATTTGTGTTTTGTACTTATTGGGTACTCATTGTATTTTGCACGTGTTATTTTTAAATTCAATCTAAATTTTTGTCAAACGTATGCGAATCCATTTCTTTCTATATCAATCTATTTATTCGAGACCAGCTGCATCTCGTTGCTTTGTCTACGTGAATCATTATATAAAACCCTTTGTTATTTACGACATAGTATTATATTATTTGTGGTTAGGATTAAACTGAATAGGTGTCTCGAATTTTATTCATATCCATATAGTAGTTTTTGCGTGAAGGAGCAACATACATCCGTCTATTTTTACAAACTTTCGCATTTATATGTATATAATACGAGTATGTAGTACCTAGTAGGATGTTCGGGCATGAGATAGGACCGAACAATAAAACATGTCTGCTTAAATATTATATTTCATTTAATAATTTTTATCTCTAAAATATGGCCAGGGTTTAAATACACAATAATGATATTATATAATAATTATTTATGCAATTTTATTTGTGAAGCATAAATCGTGATTTTTTCTTTACTTTGTTATATTTAATTAAATATCAGGTAATGAAATTAATGAAAAACAAAATTTATTATTCATGTATTTTATTTAAAAATATTTATTTTCTTTGCAACATCCGTGAACTGGTTCTCTTATCTCTCCGGTGCTGAGATTTCGTTTTGATAGTGAGCTGTACCACATACATCGCATCTCAATTTGAATTCCTATAAATAAAAAATATACATAGGTATAAAATAATACAAATTATAATAATAAGTGCCACACAATGATACTAATTGACTGGTGCTCAAGTTAGAATACCCAATGTTGTGAGTTTAAAAATCTGGCAACGAATACATTCAGATCCAAACCTTTTCTGATTGCCCTTCGCTGCGCTACGGAGGTCCTCATAGAATATATGGTAAAGTAATAAATCCTTAAATAATTATTGTATATGTGAAAGACTGTAATTTTGTTATTTTAAAAACGCAACCAGTCATTACGAAATTTGACATATGTATACGTAATATTTGGATGTAAAAAGTGTAAATAACACTTACTATGTGTGATGAACATAGGCTATTTTTTTATTCGGGTGAGCGAACACATATCAGTTACGCGGGTGAAGTTGTAGGTAAATATAATAATAATAATAATAATAAGTAAGTTTATAATTGTTATAACAGTAATAGGATAATATGTTATTTAATGTGTTTTTGTATTCAAAATTAGATATACTCGTAGACTATTTCTTAGTCAAACTTAGTAACTCATAATTAAACTAGAATGACAAAGTAAATGAAAAAAAAAAACTTACCATATTGTGCAGTTGCCTTATGTAGTTCATAGCAACTTGTTGACAATTAGTATAGTGTAATCCTGATAAATCACTCATATAGTTTGCAGCAATGCCAGCTAATAATTCAAGATCCGACAGACTATTTGGTTCAAAAGACTTGAAATCAAATGATTCGTATTTAGGATTCTCAACTGGTGGTTCTATTTCTTGGATATCAAAATCATCTTCTGTTTCTTGCAAGTCCACCATTTTTTATAACAACACTTCTTTAACAGACAACGAGTGCAAATGATCGTTGTAAAAATATTTAAAATAAGCCTACCAAGCAAGTGACGAGTGGGGATGGAAAGCGATAAGATTCTATTGTTATAACAAATGAGCTAACAGGGTTTGTACCTGTGTTAAGTGCATCTATTGTTATTTATGTAGATGCTTAGTTAATGATTGTTGATAACGGTTATTTAAACTGTTATGACTACGAGTACAAATGATTGTTTCAGGGAAGAATATTTAAGTAAGTCTATCGATCGAGTAATGGTATAGAAAGCGAAAATATATTATTACTGCGCCAAATGAGCTATCAGAAATTTTACCTGAGTTTAATGCATCTATTGTTTTTTATTTGGGTACTCATTGTATTTTGCACGTGTTTTTTTTAAATTCAATCTAAATTTTTGTCAATCGTTTGCGAATCCATTTCTTTCTTCTTGCCCATATTGTGAACAAAAAGACTGTGGTCATTAAAGGCAAGGTTATTATAGTTGTTGGTATATCTATTTGACTAAATGTCTTACTGTTTACAATATGTTATATATAGTAAGTAATTACTAATTTCTATATTTTACGGTTCAACTAGTTAATATCCTAAATAAAACAGGTAAGTATCCAAAATAGTGGAAGGTTGAATTTGCATTACATTTGTAATTCCGATCTTTAAATAAATTACAAAAAAACTTTTTAAAAACAAGCTTTTATTTCAATGCGCTAAAAATAATATAATAAATTTTTTCTTTAAAAGTTTTATAATTCATTTAAGAATTTTTAACTCTAAAATATGGCCTGGTTTTAAATACACAATAATGATTTTATATAATAATTATTTATGCAATTTTATTTGTGGAGCATAAATCGTGATTTTTTTCTTTTGTTTGTTATATCCAATTAAATATCAGGTAAAGAAATTAATGAAAAACAAAATTTATTATTCACATATTTTATTTAAAAATATTTATTTTCTTTACAACATCCGTGAACTGGTTCTCTTATCTCTTCCCTGATATGGAACCCCTGATATCAGTGTCATAAAATGTATTGAGAGAGTAGGTACAAAGAAGTTTCACACGTTATTTGGCTTACAAAAATAAATTATTTCCAATAACTGCATCTTATACTGATCATCTAGAATTCTTCGGGATAAAGTCATTGACTCAGCATAGAAAGGTTTTTCATGATATACGCTTGATAGTATCTAGTAACTGGGATATTATATTTGCAAAAAAAGTTAACGTATTTTTAACTCTTTCAGTTGTTGTATACAGATACTAATTATAAAAGATACTTGTAAACTTGAGTAGCAGTCATCGCTCAGAAGCTATGATCTCATCATGCCTTCCATGTAAACCATCGTTCCATGTAATGTTTACGATTTAAGGTGTGTCTTCCATATGTAAATATTCGAGACTAGTTGCATTCCGCAGCTTCGTCCACGTGAATCCTTATAAAGTCTTTTGTTTTTATATTAGGATATATCCTATCTGTGTCTCAAATTTTATTCAGATCTACTCGTATTTAGTAGTGTTGCGTGAAAGAATGACAAACATCAATCTATCCTTATAAATTTTCGCATTTACATCTAATACTAGTATGTAATACCTAGGAGGATGTTCGGGCATGAGATTGAAATGTTTCTCAGACACGTCACAGATTACTTATATGTATTATAAATGTGAAAGTTAGTTTTTTTTACTGGTTTGGTACCTTTTGACGCTTGTATTTGCATGGAGAAGAAATAAGAGTTAGTAACATTATAATGATGTTTAGTAGTTATAATAATAATGTCATTGTAATAATGTTATAAAATATGATAAAATATTAACAAATCAATGGAGTCGGAGGTTTAACAAGATTTTGCACCTCTGTATCGATAACAGTAAAATGATTGCCTTGTCTGGTTGTGCCTGTGGTTTGAATGTACAATCAGAATTCATTACATTTAGAATTTTGTAACATTGTTCGAATTGTGTAATTTGTTCAGGTACACACAAAAGGAATCTTTGAATTGATCATGAGTAACCACCATCTGCGCTTGCTTATAGATAACAATAGAAATGTTTTCTTAGGTAAAACTAATTCTGATAGGTCTAAGTACATATGTACTATGTACATAGGAATATTTAATTTCCTATGGTTCGTAGTCATGTTATAAATGCTTGACGTAACATAAAATTTCATTAATCAATTTTATTCATACTACTTTACCGGTACATAAACAAAATTAAATTAAAATTTATACACTGTATTACTAAATACTTAAAACATTTTTGTCATATGTAAAATAGAATAGTATATTGAAATGCGTCTCGTATCTCTTAAATGATTTTGAAAATTTACGTGATCAAAGTCACAGACAAGATAGTAGGTATTAAAATTATTATAAATTATTTGTTACAGATATAGTATAAGTATTGTGAACCATAATGTGTGTATATATAAATGCGTTGAAAGGGAAATGGGAGACAGCGTATCGTCATTAAGACGTTATTAACACAAATCTCTCCATGTCCTACACAGGATTTCTCTCACGTTTCATGCTTCGTGAATAAACAATCATTTGACTTAAATAACGCATTATTCAAAGACTTTTCTACTATACAAGGTGAAATCAAAATTAATGAAATTAAAATTTTATTGCTTTTTAAGGAAATATTGTCAGCTAAATATATTTTTATAAACATGAAGCTAAAAACAGATGAAAAACTAATTTAAAATTTCCACACTAACTTGGTAGCAGGTGCATTTAGCAGTCGATTTAGTATAAAATTGGATGCATATTTGAGTTTCAAACATTTTTCATTGTTTTTTGATGATCCATGTTTCAAGAACAGAATACTCTTCTAAAATAATTTCGATAAATTCTAATGCTTTCGATTACGACCTGTAACATATTGTGTTAGAGGCTTTTTTGTATATATGCCGATTGTAAACTATTCACGGCAATGTATTTTCATCAAAAATTGTCTTGTATAAAATTAATATCTTGTGTAACATTTTGTAACATCTAATAGCAGTAATAATATCTATTCCTGTATCAAGTTCTTAAAGTTATACAACTATTGTTCAAGGAAATATATAGAATACGAATGTATATATATATAGAGTTAAATTAGTCCTTAGCCTCACAATTTACATGTACCTTGTACTTGTAGCTCACATTAAAATGTACACTTTTCAGGTAATAACTATCTAAGTAATTGCTTCTTAAATTGTTAAGTGTAAAATAAGTACAGTCTCGTTCTCGTGACTGACCCAGCCACATTCATCATTGCAACCAACTCACCCCAGTGCTTAATAGAGTGAGTGGCCTCTTCTACAAATCAAGTAGACGCTTACTGTGTAATTTGTTCGGAAATAGTTTAATCAAGCGTAGCTTAGGATTTGCAGTAATTAAAGAAGGTGATGGCGCACGGCTGCGGGCCTCAGCTGTATATTGCTTCCTCAGATTAACACCGAGCTTCCAGTTAATTTCCTGCGTTCAATTCCGGGACGAGTGCCATCTACGAAATATTCTCTCTAACGTTTTATTGTAACGTATTTTAAAATTATATTAATCTTCGTATTTTTTAACTTTTTTTTTAACAGATAAGGAAATAAATCTTATCTAAACTGTGGTAATAGGTTAATAACAAATCATGTTTATTATAACTTGAAGATCTGATCCAGTTAGTGTATAAATGTTCCTCGCAACGTACTTTTCGCCAAAAGACGTGATCTATCGTTGCTACAGAGATAGCAAATGCGACTACAGTGATAATGTAGTGTATAGGAAATAATTTTTTTATATGATTGTATGTATAAGGGTATTGTAAGTATTCACTATGAGTAAATGTTTAGTGAAAATAACCTTACATAATAATATTACTCTAATTTATAACTTCAAATTTTAGACTTTATTATGAAAGTGTAAACAAAAACATTATTTAAACCCTTTAACTTTTTTTGAATCTATTACAATATATGTAGTTGAAAAATAAGCATCACTGGGTTAGAGTTCGTAAACTCTGCGTGTATTTTCATTATTTGAATTTATAAAAGCCAGAGGTCGGTATACAAAAATAGTTATAATGTTTATACAATTAATTCATATATGAAAGGAAAACTAAATCAATCTTCTTTTGATTTTTTTTTTTTGTACTTTCGAAAGTATCTCACTGTGGCTTCATTATCTTTTTTATCTTATGGCAAACTTTACAAACATTTTTAAAGATATCGAAACGGTACGATAACGAAACGATACGATACATCGTATCCGTAGTTTGATTTTTTGAAATATACATATTTTTTTGTTGAACAAAGTTGCTGACTTTAGACACCAGAACCAATAGTTATCTGGTTTGTAATCAAGGAGGTACCACAGCTGTAGCTGTAACGTATATAGCCTTATATTAATTCCAATCACTAGGACCACTACAAGATGTGGTTTATTATTTTATTATATATCATTATTATTTCACTATTATATCAGCCATTAGCAGTTCATTGTTGAATATAGGTTTCCCTCTTGTGGTCGTTTCCCAGTAGTTACCATTTTGGCAGGCAGATTGGCAACCGCAGTTAGGTATAGTGGTGTTTTAAGAAGTACGCTGCTCCCCATCTTTCGCCCATTAAGTTACGTCCCTTTCAATGCCTCTTACGACACTCTCGGGAAAGGAAGAGACCCATTCTATGCTGAGATCACGCGGTTCATATATCATCATACGAATATTCTATAATTTAACAAATAAATACATATTAAATTTAAGATAAGTTTGATTTGACTAATATTTAATTAAGTATATTTTTTTAAAAAGGACAAATAGCACAGATACTATAGGCGTATTTAAGGGCGGGGAGACTGAGGTTCAGTGCCCATCCCATAATTGTTTGACCTCAACATTTGGACCAGGAGTGGAGCTTTCAGCTATAGGCAAAGGCGTATGTAAAAGAATATATGCACATTTTTTGAGTGGTCAAAGTCCCTGAAAAATAAACTCAGATACGCCAATGACAGAGATACATCGACTATGTCAGATTTTTTTAAATAATATATTTTTTTATACCATGAAGGCGGCAAACAAGCATGCCGTTGATGCCTGTTTGATGGTAAACGGTTACTGTAGCCTATAGATGCCTACTATTGCCTACAATGCTAAGAGTGTCACGTGCGCTTTGCAGACCCTGAAGAAATCTTAATATACCCTTTACCAAGAATCCCATACTGTATTCTCTAGAGAAAACCGTGACAAGCAGCTCATTCCACAGCCTGAGCGTTCGCAGGAGAAAAAATATTCAGGCTTTACTTGGTATTTTAAAACCCTGTTTAATATTAGTGTCATATAAGAACGCTAAACATAATATCGAATGAGTGTATAATTAATTGCTGCAAAGTTTTCCGTGTCACAGGGTCGTTAGGTCAAATTCACTATACCCATTAAATACACACGCAAGGCGTTATGGTCGCCTTTCCCTTTGTTACTATTTGCATACAAAACAATAGTGCGAGTAGAGACGTCAAGGCAGTATTAATAAAACATATAAAATTATAGTTTATTATATATACTTGCATAATCTGTAACAATATTTGCCCTTACATTAACATACTATTTGCATCCCATAATCAGAACTATCTGGATTTCGAAGCATAGAGATTTTTTCGTTAACTTTGCCTTATTTGCCAGTATATTTTAGCTATTAGTTCTGTGGCCTTTCAAATCATGCGGTGAGGTATAACTTGTTTTGATTTCAGATAAGCTGTGTTCAAGATTAGACATCATAGTTGTTTTAATAAAAGTTAAATTTTTCGCACTTGCAATATTAGAACCATAGATATAGACCGTTTAACCGCTAGAAGGTCAAACATTCAAATTTTGTTAACGGATAGAACTACACGCACTTTTGTATTTATTTTAATTTATTATAAAACTTGAGGCACGGACAAGCATTTCATTTCAACCAAAAGCTTCTCACCTTCAAGCGCAAACATACGTGTTTTGGACCTTCGTTGCCGAATAATAATACGCAAAGTACGAGTCAGCGACCATTGGACTCATCGTATGCCAATTCATCGCACAAGTTTTGGACTACGAGAAGTGAGAAGACATCTAGTAAGGATCGAGGTTAAGGCGTCGGAGGAGCAGCAGCAGACAGCAATCGTCCATAAACGCATTCCGGAACGGTCTGCCATCCTCCCTAACCCCATCTCCTTCGCTTCAATTGTGTCACACCGTGCCTTTAGTCACGTTACAATTCTTGTGTTCAGCAATAAGAAGCAGCTTTGTGTCGCAGCTAGCACAGGCTGATCTTACAGACCAAGAATCAAACGTAAGTACCTTCATAATTTGCCAAAATGAGTATAAATGAGGCTAGTGTTAAAATAAATCGTGAAAGATCCCCTAATAGGCTAGTCGCTAATAATGAAAACGATAATGAATTGCTAAAGGATCTAGTCAAGACGCGTGGCATATTAAAAAGCAGGCTTACTAAATTTTCTAATGCCGTTAGTGATATTACCCTCGAACAATTAACTAATCAAAAATGCGCCGATGTAAAATTACGCATGCAAGGTGTTACGAGCTTATTTACAGAGTTTAGCGATGTTCAAACAAAAATCGAAAAAATTGTACGAGATTCAGATTTAGATTCGCAGCTGACGCAACGAGAATTGTTTGAAGATTGCTATTATCATGCACTAGCTCAAGCTGAATGTTTGCTCAAATCGGTAGAGGTCACTAGCGCGTCCAGTAAGGGCAGTAATAGGGCGTCACAGTCTATAAAACTTCCGACCATCTCTCTACCTGTATATGACGGAACGTATGAGCATTGGATCGAATACAGAGACATTTTTCTATCTCTAGTACACAATTCCGACGAAATTAGCGATATTCAGAAATTCCACTACCTAAAATCGTCACTAAAGGGAAGCGCGGAGTTAGTTATCGATTCCTTAGAATTCTCTGCTTGTAACTATGTGGTAGCATGGGAACTACTTCTCAACAGATACAACAATAGCAGTCTGTTGGTGCATAACCACGTTAAGGCCTTATTCACTATTCAAAAACTTTCTAAGGAATCACCACATGCACTCAGAAAACTGACAGATATTATTCTTAGAAATTTACGCGCATTAAAAATATTAGGTGAGCCTACTGAGTACTGGGATACGTTAATTATATTTATTATAACGTCTAAGTTAGATGAAACCACCGAACGTGAATGGGAACAATTTAAATGCACCACACGAAAATATATTAATGATATTTCTTCACTGAAGGTAGATGATTTACTCATGTTCCTTAGAGACAAGGCTGACATGTTGGAAACATTGCTAGTTTCACACAGAGTTAACAGTGACGTTAAAACTCAAAACGCGACTTTACAACAATCGTCACATTATCCGTCACATAAAACATCACATCATAAAGTGCACTGCAATGTTTCCACCAATAAGTCACAGCAAGGTCGAATCACGTCTACTAAGAAATCGTGTTTAATGTGTAACGCCGATCATCCACTTTATTCATGTCAAACATTTTTGGACACTAACTTAGACGCTAAACTGCAATTTATAACCGCAAATAAATTATGTGAGAACTGTTTACGTCCAGGGCATTCAGTTAGTATGTGCAAATTTGGACCTTGCAGACTGTGTTTTAAAAAACACAACACGCTTATTCATAATAACGTGACTGATCGAGTAGCGGTCGTATCAATGCATCTAGCCGACAACGAAACCCCGGGTTCTAGTCAAATGACCCCCGCGACCGTCGCACCGCCCGCGCAGTCCATCCCCGCGCAAATTCATTCGTCTCGAGTAAACAGTACACACATAGATAATTTTAATTTAATTCACAAACAATCTACTATGCGACCCGTTTTATTGTCTACAGCTATAGTCGAGATAGCCGATAGGTACAATAAGTTTCACTTAGCACGCGCGCTTCTCGACTGTGGTAGTCAACATTGTTTTATTTCTAAACCACTATGCGATTTAATTAATATAAATTTAATACAGTCCACTTGCGAAATTCGAGGTGTCGGCAACACAGTAACAACGTCATCACAGATATGTGATATCGAGATCAAATCACGCATTGACAATTACTCCGCACGCATTAAATGTTTTGTGTTGCCGCACATTACATCTACGCTATCTACTGCTATGTATAGTCAACGCGCGCAGTCTTTTATGATACCTGACTATATACAGCTGGCTGATCCACAATATTATGAATCTCAAAATATTGATATTTTAATAGGCGCAGACTTATTTTGGGACTTATTATGCGAGGGTAAAATGAGATTACCCAATGGACCCTTTTTACAAAATACAAGGTTAGGTTGGATTATTTCAGGGCCTATTGAGTTTAACACGCACAATATCAATACGTCTGTCCAATGTAACTTCACTCAATCTATTGACACTCAGTTACGACGGTTTTGGGAGTTAGAAGAGGTGCCTAAAACTAGTGACATACAGACTGACGAAGAACGCTCTTGTGAGGAAGCTTTCATTCGTACTACCACGCGCAATAGTGACGGAAGGTTTTGCGTCAGCTTGCCACTGAAACAGTCGCCATCTGTTTTGGGTGAATCTTTGTCACAAGCTGAACGTCGTTTTTTGGCACTAGAGAGGCAATTAGAACGTAATTCTAACTATAAAAAATTATATATTGAATTTATACACGAATACATCGAATTAGGTCATATGACGCGAGTAACTTCATATGGAACCCCACACTATTTTTTACCTCATCACGGCGTGTATCGTGAGCACAGCAGCACAACAAAACTTCGCGTGGTGTTCGATGCAAGTGCCGCCACAAGTAGTGGAGTGTCTTTAAATGACATTCAACAAGTCGGACCTCCCTTGCAGCGTGATTTAGTTGACATCCTGCTTCGTTTCAGACAACATAGATACACTGCTTGTGCAGACGTCGAAAAGATGTACAGGCAGTGTCTCTTAAACGAATTACAACGCGATCTCCAGTTGATTGTGTGGCGTGACAACCCATCTGAACCGTTAGGTATTTACCGACTGAATACGGTAACGTATGGGACAGCCTCCGCACCGTTTCTTAGTGTTAGGTGTCTAAAGCAGCTGGCACTCGAATGTAAGGACTCAGCCGTCCAACAAATAATTTTAAATGATTTTTATGTAGATGATATGATTACAGGTTCAGATGACAAGCAGGAGTTGCTTGTACTCTGTAAGAAGGTCACAGATGTCTTAAGTTCTGGAGGATTTCACTTAAGAAAATGGATATTTAATTTTAAATGTGATGAATTGTTGGTTCATCAAATTCCAAATAATAACGCATCACAGGAATTAACATTAGGAGAAAATGTTCAGTGCAAGACATTAGGTCTTGGATGGTACTATGCATCAGACGAGTTTTATTTTAATACTCAAGTTAAAGTTGATACGTACAAGATTAGTAAACGAACCATTTTATCGCACGTTTCTCAAATATTTGATCCATTGGGAATATTAAGTCCGACCATTATAATAGCCAAAGTTTTATTGCAAAAACTATGGTTATTACAACTAGGATGGGATGATGAGGTACCGCGAGACGTGTTGCGCGCATGGACCGTATTTGTAAAGGGCTTATCAATGCTTAATACCATCCGCATACCCCGTCATGTTATAGCTAACGAAGCGATATGTACAGAGCTACACATCTTTACCGATGCATCGCAGACTGCGTACGGCGCTTGCATCTACGTTCGAACAGTAACTAATAACGGACTTGTATCGGTAAAATTGTTATGTTCAAAGGGTAAGGTTGCACCTTTAAAACCTGTCAGTATCCCGCGACTAGAATTATGTGGAGCTTTACTTGGGGCTCGACTTTATGATAAAGTAATTAACTCACTTCGTCGTCATTTTGATAACATCATGTTTTGGACTGACTCGACCATAGTACTAGGATGGTTACACATGTCGCCTAATTTACAAAAAACTTTTGTACAAAATAGAACGGCAGAAATACATGAGTTGGCGAAGGAACTTCCATGGCGTCATGTCAGTGGGAAGGAAAACCCAGCTGATCTGGTCTCGCGCGGTGTTCAGATGGAGGACCTTTCATCTTCTACTTTATGGTGGGAAGGCCCATCTTTTCTTCGTCACACTAACTTCAGTTGCAATAATGTACCGTTAAATTCATTTGACTCTCAGCAACTATTGCCTGAGCTGAAATCCAGTGTGACACATTCCTACGCTACTGATCAAGACTGCGAACGTACATTATTTCCATTTGTTAGATTTTCTCAATATAGTCGCATGAGACGAACTGTCGCATATATACAACGTTTTATCCATAATACGCGCAATAAAAATACTCAACGGTCAGGTACTCTCACTGTCGATGAATTGAGGGAATCTGATATAACTTTGGCTCGACTGTCTCAACTAGAATCGTTTCCAGATGAGTATAGGTTACTCACAAATAATAGTACTCTAGTTAATAAGCATAATTTGTCTAAATTAAATTTATTTATTGATAAAAATAAACTAATTCGTGTTGGTGGTCGGATTGTAAATTCTCCCGACTTTAATTTTGATAAAAAACATCCGATTTTAATTTCATCTAAACATATTTTCTCCCTACTACTATTCAGACACGAACACAAGCAGTTGTTGCACGCAGCTCCACAGGCGCTTCTTTATAACTTACGTGAAACGTGGTGGCCAATTGGCGGTAGAAACTTAGCAAGGAAGGTTGTTTATGATTGCATTATTTGTAAACGCTTGAGAGGTATGACCCCTACTCCCCTTATGGGAGATTTACCAAAGGAACGCTTAACTTCGGGCTTTCCTTTTATGCGTTCTGGGGTGGACTACGCCGGACCAATGCTCATACTTAATCGTAAGGGTAAAGGTGCTAGGACGACAAAATGCTATGTGTGCTTATTTATTTGTTTTGTAACGCGCGCTGTACATTTAGAACTCGTCAGTGACTTATCAACAGATGCATATTTATTAGCGTTAAAGAGATTTATATCTAGGCGTGGCAAACCATGTGAGATTTTTTCTGATAATGGTAGAAATTTTGTTGGATTGATGAATGACTTTAAACATTTTTTAGCTAATTGTTCGTCACAGATTATAGAATATGCCACGGCTCAGAATATTCAATTCACATTCATACCGCCTTATGCGCCTCATTTTGGCGGATTATGGGAAGCTGGAATTCGGTCCTGTAAGAATATTTTACGTCGTATAGTAGGAAACGCGCACTTAACCTACGAGGAGTTCAGTACAGTGTTGACACAAATTGAAGCGGTCCTGAACTCCCGTCCTTTAAGCCCTATGTCCTCAGATCCACAAGATTTGTCGCCTCTTAGTCCAGGCCATTTTCTGGTGGGACGTCCACTTACTGCGCCTGCTAGTGATGACTTCACTGAGACGCCTGTTCATCGACTGACACGTTATCAACGAGTTGAGCAGATTCGACAGCAATTTTGGTCCCGTTGGGCGAAGGAATACGTGTCAGAACTTCAAATAAGGACTAAAGGAAGGAAGAACACACTTGAACTGCAGCCTGATATGCTAGTAGTTATTAAGGACGACAACCTACCGCCGCTAAAATGGCATCTCGGTCGAATAGTGAAGATCTTCCCTGGCAAAGACGGCATCACTAGAGTAGCCGATATTCGCACATCGTCAGGTGTCGTGAGACGCGCTTACAGCAAGATATGTCCCTTACTTGATGACTAATTCTAGTTTTGAAGTTTTAAAATTGAAAGCTGAAGCTTTCAAGGCCGGGGGCATGTTCAAGATTAGACATCATAGTTGTTTTAATAAAAGTTAAATTTTTCGCACTTGCAATATTAGAACCATAGATATAGACCGTTTAACCGCTAGAAGGTCAAACATTCAAATTTTGTTAACGGATAGAACTACACGCACTTTTGTATTTATTTTAATTTATTATAAAACTTGAGGCACGGACAAGCATTTCATTTCAACCAAAAGCTTCTCACCTTCAAGCGCAAACATTCATTATTATTATTATTAAAGATTCAACGGGTACTTACACTTGAACAAGTCATAATATTAGTTACGTATGTTGGACTCCTTAGAACACGCTCTAAACAGTTGGCTACTAATAGTGATAGATGCATCTTCTCAACAATATACATATATGAGTATAATATGTATACGTATGTATCACGGTTATAGTTATATTATTATGTAGATATTGCTGTTAGAATATCGAAGTGCTCTGTCCGGGCTTCTATAATGGAGTTCTCTTGTTATCTACATCCATTGTAAATTAATTTATTCCATCATACTGTTTTAAGAATTTTTTACGATGTTTATTGAGATTGTATGTTCCTTGGAATTATTCAAGATTGTTATCGCCATAAGTAGTTCAGCACTTAAGTATATTTTCAAAAATTGCCGGGTAAAGCAAGCAACGCTATTTACATGGTTTTAAGATAGGCAAAAAAAAAGAAGTTTGAATTATATATATTTGATATATATATATATATATATATATATATATATATATATATATATATATATATATATATATATATATATATATATATGTATCAATATATTTATATTTGAATAGAAACTTGTTTTGATAGTAATTTGCAATTAGATTAAAATGTAATGATTATACCTATAGACCATGTGAGTTTTGAAACCGGCGTGTATGTATGAGACGAATTATGAAAGTGGATGAAGTAACAGATGTAAAAATTGAGGCTTTAGACACACTCTGATGTAATTTCTTTATTTAATTTTATTCATGTAATAATTATTTTCCATAGAATAAAAAATTAAATAAATACGAAATAATAAAAAAGTATATAATAATATTATAAATACATTATTATTACGAGGTCAGCAAAAAAGTTAGTACGTATACTGAAATCCATTATTTCCCTTTTAGTTTCTTTGCCTGTCTCAAGAGTGAACAATGTAGTTTTCCGTACTTCAGACTAAATGTCTGCAATGCAGAGCATTTCAATGATAAAAGAGAAAAATCATTTAATGTAAAAGCCATGTTATAAATATAAATAGGTACATACAATGGAGATGCATTGCTCTAAGTAGTTCGAATGACAAAATAATGGAACATTTCCATAATTTAAAACAATAAACTAATTTTTAGTAATTATTAAATTACAAAATATTCGGCCTTCGATTTTATCTATAGCTATATCATAGTGTTCCAATAGGAACACTATTTTCCTTATACTAGCAAAAAGTTATATTTATATAGTAATTTATATTTTTAGTTATATTTTTACATAAATTACTTATGAATTTCAATATTAATAAGAGAAATGTTATATTAAATGAATACAGAAAATGATTTATCATTTATTGGTCAAATGTTAATTGTAATTTTTTTTTTAATTATAAATAATCACAACTGTAATAGCTAAGGCTGATAAGAGGGATTGAAAATTGAAAATTGCCGTATAAAGTTTTTATGTAAGTAGTTTATAATTTGATAAGAGTGGCTGTAAACTTTGTGCAAGGTACTTCAAAGTGAATTCAGTTATAATGTTGAACCTAACGTTTTTATTTGCTGGTAAGTCAGACGTCTGCATATAGTGTTAAACATTTGTTCATTTATCAGCTTTGTTCTGTTGTAAACCTAACCACTTTGTCTACAAACTTTGAGGCTCCTATAAACTTATCTTAGTGACTACTTATTCTGTATGAAACTTTGTATTTTAGCATCTCTTTAATTATATTCGTACAATTATTTACTTCTTTTTTAACGTTTTTTAAACGTTTTATAAATCTGATTGGTTGATAGTATAGGTATAAACGCTTTTTTGTCGTTTGAAAGATTATTTTAACGGAGTATTTTATTACTGAAATTTAATGTTATTCTCAAAAAAACATGTTAAAAGTTTCATACCAAGTTGACAGTTGAATACATTGCAATATTTATCAAAGAACATGAGGTATTGATACTGTAAGTATATAATTATGGTGTTTGCAGTAATTATTCCTATTAATGGAATTTACGGAAGGACACAAGACGTTGATGTCGATACTATATTAGAGATAATACAGGCCCAGCAGCAATTAGAGCAACAAAGAGAACTTAATCAAGGTAGTTCCGACAGATCTGATTATGATTCAGACAGTGGCGATAGTCGTTATGTAACTTTAAGAAGTGGAGAATTTATGAATCTTATACAAGAAGCCACTAATGAGAAAGAAAAAGTAAGAAAATATAGGTTAGATAAACAACGAAATTATGCTGACAAGGATATGAACAACCTATATAAATATGTAAATAAACAGTATGTGGATAGTTATAAAAATCAAAGTTTTCCACTGGAACAGATTCTAGAACAATTATTATCACAAACGTCTGATGTTCAAAAACCGAAAACGAAATCTTGGAAAGAAGTAACAGGACAAATATTGAAACCAAATAATCTCTTAGAGTCTTTTAACCATGGAGACGATAGTTTGGACAACCTCGATAAATATTCCAAAATCTATGTAATATTAAATCCACAAGCTATTCAGAAGAGTAAGAATAAAAATAATTTGACTGATCTGTAGGTATCTTTTATTAAGATATTTTAGAGTTTTTATGCGTATGAAGAATGAGTGCAGATATGTTTGATAGATATTTTATTTTTATTTTTTTCTTATTAGGATATCACAGATAGTGTCGTTGTCAAGGTCAGCGAACAGAAATAAAGATAATCGTTATAAAGGGTTCTCTTTTAAAAATAATTTAATGGCCAAACGTTCACGTAGCAAATCTAAAGAAAGTGAGTATGCAATGCAAACGTAACACACCGTAATAATTTGTTTTATATTTTGTATATACATATATACATATATTATGTACATATTAATAAATTAGAAAAAATATTTAATACATTTCAATTAAAGGTACTGTAGGAGAACTTTCTTTTCTTTAAAACTCTACACAAATAATATAATAAACAGTATTTGCGATTTTTTTTAATGAACTTTATATATTTTTCTATTTCACTTGCTATACATATAAGCATGATTGTGTTTTAGTATACAGTGTAAAGAATTCAATGGAAGATGACTATAGGCCGAAACGTTCTCGAAACGACCGTGGTGGTGGCAGTGGAAGTGGGGGAAGAACAGCAATACCTTACCTAAGTAATCGTGGAGATATTTACGAAAGGGATAATTAATATAATGATAAAATAAAACAAAATTTAAGGCTTTATTAAAGAAAATTAAGATAATTCTGTGTATTTAATTATAATTTCCAACTAATAAAAAAAAATACAAGATTTATTTTTATACGTTACTATTACAGATACCTTCAATAAAACACTGAAAGTTAAAACAATACGTTATACTTAAAAATTAAGTCCAGTAAGACAGAAGTTAGATCAATTAATAAATTTATCTTTATTTTTTTTCCAAAATTCCAGAACAGCGATAATGCTGAGATTACTTTACTTCAGTCTCGTAAGTAATAAACGTTCTGTGACTTTGCATCAATATAAAAAATAATAATAAAAAAGTATAATCGAAAGACGTTGTAAGATAAGCTATGAGAGACGGTGTAAAGTTTAAAGTACCTACTTCATTATATTGTCTGTTGTCTATGCTGTAAGTTCTGTAAGATAGTCAAGTCTAACCTGTCTTTAACACTGGACTATTTTCTAGCAATTGTTTACGATAATAAATTATATAAGTACCATATATAAAATAATTTGAGTATTAAATTATCTATGTACTTATTAGAACAGTTTGTATTTCTGGTTGTCAGTATCGAAATAGGTAAGAGCACCTGTTCCGGCTTTAGCACGGCGTAGAAGGCGCGAGTTCAAACTCTACTCATTTCGAATTTTTTTAATCAGTTACATCTTATTAAAATAAGATATTTATCATCATAATTATATGAGTATCTATCCACTGTTGAACATAAGCCTCCCCCATAAACTATATTTTTGGGGGTTTTATTAATGGTTGCCACGCTGTAACGTGTTAGTAATCGCAATTAGGCTTTTGGTGACGTTTTAAGAGGGACGCTGCTGCTCATTGCTCGATCATTAGTTTCCTTAGTTGCCTCTTACGACACCCACGGGAAAGGAAGGGGCAGCCTATTGTATGCCGGAATAAACGACCACAGATTTTTATAATTAAGTATTATAACAATAATTCTCTACCAATTTAGAACAGGTGTTCGCGTGGCCAGAGATATTTGTTAGGATTTAGTGTTGTGATGAACCCAACATACCCACACGTCGCCGAGTATATTAAAATCCAATGTGGTATAAGGCAAGCTTGCTATTGTTACTCATGTTAATTTAATAAGTTGGCGGTGTTTTTTAAAACCGTTAGTATATATTAAAAAAAAAAAAAAAAATTATAAATAATAGGTTTAATTAGTCTATGTGCACAAACTGCAATGGTTAATCATCTAGGTTGTCAGATATTGTTACTCCATTGCGGAAATAGTTTTTGCAGGATTTTTATTATATACTTATATTACTTACAGTTGATAGATAGATTCTAGCGTTTTTCATTCTATCGAAATAAAACTACAACAATTTGATTATGTTTTTACTAATTCATATTCTCTTCTATATTTTACTTTACGAGTATATCACAGTCATCACTTTAGTAAGTGCATTAAATAGTAATTAAGTACATTGATTTAGTACATAAGTAGGTATAATTTAATTATTGTTATTGAAAAGTTCTACAATTGGCAATAACAAATATATATATAATAACACTTTCATAAATAAATAGATTGTTAAATCACAATATTGAATAAATATCAGTGTGCTATCTAATAATAAAATACCTACTTAACTTGTGTTATGAAACCAGCAGAAATATGCTTAATACAGTATAGAAATTAGTATTGGGATTATGTTTGTAACGGTATACTAGGCCTCCCTTTAATTTTTCTTTGAAGTAAAAAAGTATATATAAATAATAATTATTATTAATAATAAAAAAAAACTCTCAAAATAAGAGATCAATTTAATTAAAGAAATTGGCTAATTTTTAATAAAAGAAACTTATAAAAAATACAATAAACAATATTATCACACGTAGAAGTATGTCTTAGCCACTTGTCTAACAACAGACAGCAATATATCCCGAATTTACAAGTAATCGTTTGGGAAATATCAAGGTGTTCACTGGCCGTACTTTATATTGTGGTATATTGAACTAGTTATAGAGTAGTTATATTGTAATTAAAACAATATTAACAAAACAAAAGTTTGGGAGACATTTAAGTTTAATTAGCAAAGCTCGTAAGGTGTTCCCTTGGGAGCTTTGTTAATTAATAGTAATTCGTTTTTTAACGTTACATGCCCAATTACTAGTAAATTTTGATTGAAAGAAGAATGATTAGAGTAATTGAGATTTGATCAAATTGAGTAACAAAACTTAACTCTTGTAACTACTGATATAATGTATTATTTATATGTCTAAGTTCTACGCTCTGGTACTAAATATTTATTTATAATCTATAATGTGAAATTCGGAACAAGCTCACCACATTATGATGATGTTTATGTGCCTTCGTAGATAACGCGTCTCACAGTCTATATCTAAAATGTTTTTATGACATTACAATTTCTGTCAGTCATGGAAAAATGATATCCACTTAATATAATTGTTACCATTTCATTCACACACGAACTATTGTATTATAAAATATGTATTATAGTAATTTAATGTTATATTTAGATTTGTTTTAATAAATACATCGATCTAATCGAACATTATTAATCTTATATAATGCTATAATATGATAATTATTAAATTAGGTACCTCATTTTTATTATTAGCCATAATCTATTGTAGCTATACGAATTTCTTGACTAAATAATGTGACTATAAAACAGGACATTTTAATTGACTAGAATAAAATTGCAGCATCTCATGTTGACTAGGCCACAGTTACTGATTCTGATACTTCAAATAAGATAATCAAAAAGTTTTTACTATAATATTATTCTACAATTTAGAAACAATTAGTACACTACTATTGTGTGGGTCCTGGTAACTTGATTAAAGAATATATTATTATTATTACTATAAAGGTAAATAATTGTTTGGAAATAATGTAATGTAAGAACGTATTTTTATAATGTCGCTTATTAATTACTTAGTAATTTTTTGGTTGACAAAATATTTTTAACAAAAATAATAACAAACTAATGTGTGGTTGACTTATTTCAAAGAATAAGTACATTACTACATGTGTGTACCTAGATATGGGGAAAGAAATTCTACATAATACTGTCTGTTAAATAATTAACATCATATTTATATTTTGGTAATATTAAAAAGAAATATTTAATAATTGTTTCGGATATTTTATAAAAAAATATCATAAAAAATAGAATAAACTCATCTGATAAGTTATGTTACGTAAAATTATATTAAGTTAAAGTTTTATGAATATTTAATTGATTACATACAATACACAGAACTAATTTTCCCTTTAAATAAGTTGTGTAATAAACTAATTTATATTCAATATGTCTGTTAATAATAATATGATAAATAGGTTAAAGAAAATGTATAAATATCCATACATTGTAAGAACAAAGTCATCTATAATTGCTTTGTTTTTATCATATTTTAAGGAAATTGGAGCCTATAAACAATTTCATGCTAGAAATATGAAAATACGCAAATAATGAGCAAAATAAGTATTTGTAAATTATTAATAGGTACTTAATAATAATACATATTACCTACAGTTGTAAAATGAATTATTTTGCAATCTATTTTTGAAAATGTGTTGTGAATTATATTTTTATAAAGAAATATATCATAATTATTTTAATATACCTACTACTTAAACGCAATTGATCCCGTTCCAGGCAATTCACGATAAAATGCAATTATGCGCTTTTATTCACGAAAGTATACTCCGTAATTAATTGTAACATTAACCATACGTAATTGAACTATAGAGGTTGGTGATTTGCAATATATCCAAATCAACCAGCTTCACACGTCTCAGTTACTAACTAAACAATTTAATGGACCCCTTCATTTTCTATACCGAAAGTCACACCATACGATCACTATAATAGAACTTCACTGAACACTTGGAGTTTTTAAAGGAGCAGTACCAGGAGTTCATAATTCCGAGTTGGTGTTTATTCGGTACTGAGCCGCCGGGAGGGCGAGACCCGTCACCCTCAGAGGTAGTTTGGCCGGGACACACAACAGAGTACTCCCATGCCTTTGTATAGGGAACCTCTCCGCTTGTTCCGCCACAGGCCGTTGACGTCGTCGCCTTTCAGAGCGATGTTGCTCTCTGTAAAAAGTTCGAACGTATACGTACACGACAGTTTTAAAACAATAATTAAGTAGGTATTATTTATATAAAGTTTATAAATTAAATTTCTTATACATTTTAGTATTCGTAAGGCTACTAATGTAAATAAATATAACCCCTAAGGTTATATTAAAATTAGAGAAAAAATTAAGTAAATATTTGATTATTTATAATTCGTCTATTTATGCTAGTCGTTTGTAACAACCACTATTTATTTTCAATCACTGTTTATTTTATGGGTGATAGGTAAGAAATATAAAGATTGAATTAGTATGGTATATAGCTTTAATATGCCTTTAATTTTTGATACCTTGGATTGCATTATTGTAATTTTCATAAGGACTTCTGATTATGTACCTTTTTATAGGTGAGAATATTTAAAAACAATTGAGTATTAATAATATATATATATATATATATATATATATATATATATATATATATATATATATATATATATATATATATATATATATATATATATATATATATATAAAAGATCAATAACTGTTACAATGTATATGTAGCAAATTCCACATATAATACATACATAAAATGTAGATACTACGTAAGTACTAATTGTACAAAGAAGGCACTGCGAACGTTGCGGTTAGGTTAGGTTGGCGGACAAAAGACGATTTTTCCCGCACTTTACCGCACAGTGTTCTTAATGTCAATGAAGATACGCAAACGTGGTATGAAGCTCCTAATCCTTTTATGTAAATGGGACTTTCTTTTCCAACATTCTGCTATTATTTGCAACATATAAGCATTACATATAAATAATTATAAATACCTAGAAAAAATATATAATTATGTATAAATATAAGTACTCTTTGTGTAGTCCCGGCATAGAATAGGTTCCCTTTCTTTCCCGTGAGTATCGTAAGAGGCGACTAAGGGAGTCCCTTTTAAAACTTTCCCAAAGCCTAACTGTGATTGCCAATTCGCCTGTCAAGTGCATCTACTATTGGCAACTAGTGGAAGGTTTATGTTCAGAAGTGGACAGTTAAAGGCTGATATGATGATGATGATAAGTACTTAAATTTTAGGTATTGATAAAATTCTAGAATTTTAATTCTAGAGCAACATCTATTTACACTTTATAATATATTTATCTTAAATAACTACGTAATTTAAATGTTAAAATTTGTAGTATAAACAGACAAATAGAATATAGAATGAATGTTCATTATTCTGTAATAGAAGGTTATTATAAAAACAAGAAATAGTATGTTATAGGATAGTGTATAGTACATGAAACTCATGTATAATCTCACCATGCTTGTGCTGCAATTAGTCAACATTTATATTGTATATCCTATCACTATTCAGACAGGCCTTGGTGATATTTAAAGAAAAGGCAGGGATAGCCCATTGTATGCCGAGACGACATGCCTCATTACTTATACTGTACTCTTAAATATAATTTAAACAGAAAGTTTACTCCAAATATAGAAAAAAAAAATTGATAATGAATCATACCCAAATGGTTAAGATTTTCATGCTGTGGAAGGTATTCTTGTATATCATTAACTATCCTTGTAATTTCTTGGGTATCCTTGGCGATACTGCACAGCTCCTCTTGATTGAAGTCTGGTGTGATTTGCTTGCAAAGCAGTATCTGACTGATCACGTTACCAAAATTGGATGGACCGGCACGGTTTTCTGTTTGCAAAAAAATATTATTGTTTACATATAATGCAATATTAATATCGTTATCAGATTTATAAATGAAGAAAAATACAAAAAGCACTACATTAGCTCTAAAATTTCGTATGTAGATACACTGTAGGTTTTGTTTGTGTGCAAAACCACTGAATATTAATGTGTAAGTAGTCCACAGGCTCTTAAAAGTATTGCAAGCTAATATTATTTCTCTTGAGGTTTTGCGGTCATCAAAATTTCAGCTTGCTAGACATATGTGGATAACGAAATATTTTACCAAGACATTCTAATACTGACGGAGGGACTGATTTACTCGGCTGGGATAAGGTCGGAATATTACTGCGTATTTAAATAAATCATGGAAGTAAATCCCTTAACATATAATTCGAGGATGGCTAGAGTTCTTTTATGTCTATTCACTGCGATAAATCCAAAAGTCAAAACCAGAAGACGTACTGAAGATTTACCGCGTATTAGACTTCCCGCTGCATTTGACTTTGTGGTGCAAGAAATTTGGCTTTGAGAAATTTGTTTGCTTTGTACCTTTGATTTTATTATTACGTTTATATTCTGTATATATATTTGATTAAATATACATTATAAATGGGGTGGTTTTATCGTAATAATACTTATTTCCACAGAAACAAAGTAAATGCAAAAGAAAAAGCCCTCACAACTAATGTCCGTGCTAAAAGTGTTACAAAAGACAATCCCGTGCAGCTGTCACTTGTCTTTTCCAGAGTTATCTCACCACTCGGCGTGACAAATTAGGAAAACAATTAGGAATGGATTAGAAGGCCAAAGGAAAATTAATTATTAATTGGTCTCTAAAAATGACTTTGAAAATTCAAAAGACCAAAATCAAGAAAGGGTCACGACGGAAGGTACCTACTTATTATTTATGTTGACATCTGAGTTTCAAGTATCAGCTTTGTGATGGATTTTGTTGGATATTTTAAGGTAGATTAGGAATTATACATAATTTTGGTATAAATACAAATTATTTTATGTATTTTATATAAACGAATTTCTTGTGATTGAATAATATGACGATTTAATGATGACATATAGATTTAATGATTCAAATAGTAATTCTTATATACGATCTCTGTAACAAAACGATAGGCGACTTGTTCTGAGTAATGAGGGTTTGGATTAGATTTTCACTGCTAATTTAGAAAACAGATTGTTGTAAATTATGTCGAGTCTAGATATCGAAGAATGTGTGGCCTAGCCTTTTACGAGTATTATGCCATGATAGAATAAATTGTCCTAATTTAAGGATTAACCTACTAGTAGACACTTATTAAATATTAACTAATTATAATGAAATACAAAACCTATTGGGTACGCACACTGTAGTATAAATGTCTGTGCGAAATTCAGTTAGAGCGACATGGAGTTGCAAAATAACAGCACTAGAAACAAGTATGAGTACCTACTTGAGTCATGTACATAGTTGGCACAACATTCAATAAGAGTACTTCAATTGTTTTATTTTAATTGAGTCGAGGCAGTAATTATGATTTATCTAAAATGATTCAGTTCAGAATAATGTATTTTATTGAATATTATGTTTAAAATTATATTTAATCATATTAAAATTGTAGAGATTGTTTCATTCCAATAGAAAATAAAAAAAAAGTTACAAGACGACGTATATATCGACAAAAACAATCTAAAAATTTTTTTATAAATTTTTGCTTTTAAGTATTAATTTTAATTGCATTAATTAACAGTCACAATTGAACATTTGTAGGGAGTAAAAGTAGACATAAAGAAATAGGTATTATATATGTTGCAGTCAAAACTCTTAACCAGTCAAAAGTACTATTGACTAGCAAAATCAGTCAAAAGTACATTTGACTGAACAGGTTGGTCAAAAGTGGTTTTGACTGGTTAAGAGTTTTGACTGCAACATATACATTCTATTAAAAATGCTATCACACTAGCACATTATGTGTATAACGTTTCAAAGACAAATAAATGCTTTTAAATACTTTTTTTTCATTAAATATTTTGAGTATAACACCTATTATATAGATGTATTGCATTAAGAAAAAGATATATTGGAATAATTTATTTTATATTGTTATGGATGTTGTGGATAGACAAACAGTGATATATGATGATTTAAGTGCATTAATTCAAATTTTATTTAGTGGTAAGAATAATACAATAAGTAGATAGATTAAAAATATATTATTGTAATAATACAATTATAAATGTGGAATGAATTAAATTTTACTGCTATATATATAGGCGATCTTTTTAATGATTGTGATGACATTGATGAACTTTTAAAAGGAAGATGATCTGCAGTGCAGACAATTACTCAAGTACGCGTTACAGTATAAAACAAATCTCAACGATTATACAATGAACCCTATATACGATATATGTATATTATACCATAATAAGAAGTCATATCCATTGGCACTAATTGAACGAGCCGGTGACACTTGGCGAGTTCCCGGAGCAGTAGTTGTGACATGAAGTACAGGAGCACCAGTTGGGGCTGTTCCGTGCAACCCTCGCTTGTTGATCTGTACACATAGAATTTTGTAAACTAAAGTGATAATGTTATTCGCATAAGTTCTATTAATTTAGTAATATGATTTAAGATTTTAATTAAAATACTTATAAAATTCTATATTTTGAAGATACATATTCTCACTCTAAATGTAAATATACTTATTTATACCTATACATAAAATAGTAAATATGTACCTAGCAATTTTAATAAACATAATAATAATCATTTATGAGTATTTTCAGATAGGTAAGTATAGTACAATTCATGTAAAGAATATTAAGGCATTGTCACTGTAGATTTATACGTGTAAAAATGTAATTATTTATACTTAAAATTTTTTATCGAGCTCAATATAATGTAATTTACGGTCTAGTAGTATTGGAATAACGAACCGAAACTGAGTAATTCCCAAATGATTTTAAAAGGAACGAGGGAAGAGGGAACGAAGCTAGCTGAATTTTATAAAATTACCGTTTTTTATAATATCTAAGTATTTATATCGATATTAAGAGATACATACACATAAAAAAGTAATTGTACAAGACTATAAAGATTAATTTGTTTTTATGTGTTAAAGTTTATATATAAAGTGCTGCTAACAATGTTGCAGTATTTAAATAAAAATAATAATATATGCATATTTAATTACTTAGTAATTTAGAAGTATATCATATACTTCTAAAATAGGCAGATTCTTCTTAAATTAGCGAAGAAATAATATACTATTTCAGGAAACATATAAGTTTGTACAGATTAATAACGACGATTTATTAAAAAATTCTCATGACTGTAATCCCTGATAGGGTTGTTTGTTGTTGTTTGTTACCGACGTGGTGAACGTAACACTCGATATACCCATATTTCGCTCATTGTTTAAAATTAATCATAAAAATTTTGCAAATTCTTCAATTTATTTTGTAATGTTACAGTTCGACAAACAAAAAAATTGCATGCTAATCTTGGCAAAACATATTAGAATTATAACATATTTATATGTTATAGTATACGATATAAAATAGTATGTATCTATTGCATATACATGTTTATGAAAAAAAATCTTTATCGACTATGTCAGATAAAATCTATTTCTTCAAAAGGATTAGCTTTTTTGTTTATACGAGTGTATTATATATGTTATATTATTAATTATGTAATTATATTTATTGTATCTTTATCCTTACTGATATTATAAATACGAAAGTGAGGATGTTTATTTGTTATCGTTTGGTACCCCAACAGTTCGATTAATCGGCTCGAAATTTGATACACGTGTATTTTGTGTGCAAAAAGACTTGGTTCTTTTTTTTCTGGTCACGTTAGCTAAAATGCGATCTAAAATATATATATATATATATATATATATATATATATAACATATTTAGTCTTTCATTCTTCTCACGATGTATATATATATATATATACACATATATATAACGGTACAGGTACTATTCTTAATTTATAAATTCTATTACTCAGCTTAAAAAACTTCTATGAAGAAATCCACGTACAATATAGTACTTACTTATTTGTCGATCTCCATACAGTCCCCCCTTGAAACCTAACTTCATTATTATCTATTACTTCTCCTCACTAGTACTCACTAGCATATATTTAAGGAGGGGTTAGCATTGCATTTTCATCCATAAAAATACTAACCATATTTCATTTCCACGAAGCACAAAACAAGTGACATTTTAGATAAGGTACAGACTTCAGTATTGTGATTTTGTAAGGGAGGGGATTTTGGGAATCGTATATCATGGTCGACGTAGGTCTCGATTGGTATAATTATTGGTAATTGCTTTTGGTTGTTACTTTGCATAAATTAGTCCCTACATTGTCTCTACAGTGCGAGTAAATTTCACTAGTGACTCGATAAATTGATAATACGACGTAACCTTTTAGTTTAAAATCTATTATTTACAGCTACGAGCATCTCTTACGCTTTACACCTTCACTGCTGATCAGATCACTCACAATTAAAAGGCTCTACGCAGTACTTAAAACTGTATGTGGATTATTATCCGTTAAACATTATTATTAATAACAATAATGCTTAACTGCTATTATGGGACCTTCTTCTTTTTAATTTTTAGACAATTCTGAATTTGGTTCGATGTTTTATTTTTCAATGGAAACAGATTACTTGCAGTTTGTTGTCATGTAAGATTGAAGCCTGGGTTTTTATATGGTGGTTTTATAATGTTATTATGGTAAGATTTTGCTCCACGCAATTTTAATGAATTATCAAAATATGCACAGAATTGTAGAAAATGTAACATAAACTTTAAAAAAAATGCTCAATACTGGTTCAGTATACTGTATCTCCCTACTTACCTGCAGCAACTGTATTTTGCTGTATGAACGTTATCGATCATTCGCAAATTAACCGTATCCTCTTACCTGGACGTATCGTGATATAATTTTGCCATTTTTTCTCCATGTTATTTGAAAATCTTAATATTATAACATAATATGTGTCAGTATGTTATCTTTTGGCGTTTTAACGGCTTAACCAATGACTTTTAAAATTTGTTATAAACATATATAAGTAGATTAAAAAAAATGATGATTTAAAAGTGCTTGTAAACAAGTCTATTTGAATAAAGATTATTTGAATTTATTATTTGAATACGGGACGGAGATTTCTCCATCCTATACACCATGTATGCACGTTTATACCAATTAGCCTATGTCCTTACATAGGCTAATTTATTACACGGTCAGTGATACATGGTCATATTCTGGTTATGCGGGCAATCGCTGGTAAAAACTAGTCTATAAATATATATTAATCTTTAATAAACGGAAAATTTAAAATAATTTAACGAGGAAAGAAATTCACCATAATCAACGACCCCCAGAGAACGAAACTGGAGACTGGAATCAATAATTGACGCATCGAATTTACGAAAGGCTATAGTGGAGTCATTACGTGGTTGCCGCTAATAGGTTCGGATTGTTTGTTATATTCTGTTAAATTGGGAATATAGAAAACTTAATCAGTTTGAAGTCGTTAAATTAAGGATGTTTTTGATGAGCGTTTTTATAATTTAGTGTAGCACGGGACAATATCGTACGAATTTATCGCTACAATTTTAACAGAAGAATAAAATTTACGCAATTATAATTGAAGCACTTTTAATTTTGCATTATGGATGTTTTTAAATTATTGTCCTATAACCTCTATATCATTTTTACAATTAAGATGGATATCATCAAACCGTTAGAATATGTACTTGTTACGCAATTTTGCTACGCACATATTTCAATAACTGCATACTGAAACATCTGTCTTCAGCAATTGAAAAAAATATTGGACGAAATTATTAGAGAAAACAGTGAATTTACACTCAGCTCGCCTTAATTTGTTAAATCGGCACACAAATGAGGGTATTCTAAATTGAAGCATCACTTGTAATGAAAAATGGACACAGTATTATGATCGGAAACACTCGTCACTATGTTGAAGTTAGGAGAAGCCGAAATGCCATGCGGAAATTTAGTCAAAAATCTTATAAATATGTGAATATATGGTGAACCAGTGCTGGTGTTTTGCCGTGTGGTCCCGGCATAGAATAGGCCACCTATTCCCTTTCTATGGGTATTGTAAGAGGCGACTAAGGGAACTTAATGATCGAGCAATGGGCAATAGCGTCTCTCTTAAAACATCACTAAAGTCTAACTCCGGTTATCAACCGGTCTGCCAAGCGGGGCAACGACATATTTGTATATCTTTTTAACTTAATAATTAACATGTCTTTGACCATTTTGATATACAGTGAACATTAAAAGTGGTTACAAAAAAATATTTAATATATAGGGAAAAAGCAAATGTCAGTATCCTAAAAAAAGAACTACAAAATATATGGGTCTATCATACCAATACCGCACGTTCAGCTGTTAGGTTACTATACGTGCATTTTGTGATGTTTTGAAATTTTTAAGTCACGAAGTTTTTGTACTAATATTAACTAATCACATATTTAAAAAAGAATTTTACATTTTTTTTAATTAATAAACAAAAAATTGGCATACCTAATAGGTACGTAGCGGAAATATTTATTGCCTGAATGCCTGAAGGTGATAGAAAGTGACTTCATGTAATGTAATGACCCTTCATGTAATAGTATCTGTTTTTTATTTGATTATTTAGAATATAATATTAAATGGAGGCGAATGTAATGGACACACACAATGAATTTTATTCATATTTCTTTTTATTATTATTTTTAATTAGGAATTTCGCGACTGACTCTTGGCCACAACAGAATATTAGTGTTTTGCTCTTTTGAGGGCAAAGCAATAAACTGAGTTGTGACCATTTTATGTTACTATGGCAAACGCATGAAGGAAAAGAATGAAAGAAAATTGTTGGTTTATATATTTTGCTTTTTGTTTTTTGCTTTTATATTTTTATTCTTTTATTTCTTTTACTGTGTATTATGTGTATGTTTGTATTATAATTTGTGTGCTGTAAGTAATGTAAATAAATTATCTATCTATCTATCTATTATATTATTATATATTTTATAGCATGATCTTCGTTTTACTTACGGTTCTTGATTTTAATTTCATCTTTTATACCTAATACTCAGTTACATTTTGTAAACAACATTTGAATCAATATCGGACTCGTTATAACGCGCAAGCATGCATGCTACATATATGCTCGCTGCACACCACAAATACAGTTCATGAGTTTCTTGAGTTACGAACTCACCTTTCAGTTGAACAACATAAATTGCAACGTGTTATGAACTACTAGGTAAATGCAAATTAATTTAACAAAGTTAATTCCATTGACATCAATTTAATTTAGTAAGCTTTGTGGAAATTCCTTTACGTGATTTATTAGTTTTCAGATACCTATACTTCGATGGTTCATACTATACGTATAGATACTTCAGTGTTGTAATTAGTTCTCTTTCGGATTGACTTCCGAAACGACTGGTTCGCCTTTTGAAATGCAAATAATTGGGTAGAGGGGTACCTAGTCGGGTTTATATAAAAGCTCACAACACAATCCTACACAATTTGTCTGCTGAGCCGAGCCGTTACTGTCATAAATATTTCAATGTAAATTACAATGAGGCCTTTGTATGCGAACCTTTCATATTTGTAAAGTATAATTCAAATTTTTGCATCTTAATACAGGAACTAATATTATGATTAAATAATTTATAGAAGTAATAGATCGGAAAATGTTTTTAATTATACGATCCTTAAACTCTGTAATTAGTTTTTGGGACTGCACATAGATATTAAGCTATTTTTAAGACTTCTAGATATCTCATAGCAAAACATAAATACCAGAGGGAGACTTTGTACAAAAGTCGATTGCTTGGGTACCTCTGTCCCATTCGTGTTTCTACCGTGCAGCAGTTGTGTTTGCATGGCTGTGTTTCGGTTTGAAGGATGGAATATGGCGTGAATTTACAGGGTACAGAGGAATAACACCTGAGTCCTCAGGAATGGCAACGCATGGGGGTTATCATGGACGAAACAGTATACTCTGTTATGTCCATGGTACTGCTCATATCTATAGGCGACGGTTACCACTTTCCATCAGGTGGGCCGTTAGCTTGTTTACCATTCTAAGTTGTATAAAAAAACATAAATATAAGTCTTAAGTGACCCTTTAGATCTATATAATGGAATAGAAGTGTCTAAATTCTATGAAATCGCTTATCTTATGATCTTATTGGTCGAACAACCAATTCTGATTGCGACTTGATAATAAAATTTATTTTTAAAACGTTATTTTTTTTAAATCATGTAACATATAGACAGATATTAATTAAATAAAATTACTAACGTAGCTTTCAGTGCTTAGTATTTTTAATTGTCTTATCTAATATAAGAGGGGAAAAAGCTTATTGAGCTATTTACATGACATTTTTATAACAGTATAGATTAACCTAATTTGAATATTATAATTTCTAATAAATTCCATGCCGTAAGCCAAGGTTTACGGCGGAAAGTGCTGTGTTAAATTATGTCTTAATTTAGGAATATAGCCTCTTTTTGTCGCTATAACAAGTTGCATAAATTACATATTTATTTACTATTGGATGTACGAGTATCTTGCGGTTTTGCTTGTGAGAACTAGGCTAAACATGTCGTGGATATTGGTAAAATAAATCATAATTAAATCCAGTCTATTCAGTGTTATTAACATTCATTCATGAATTTTTATGAGATTTGATATTTATAATAAGAATGGGAAAAATCGGTACTGCTCTAATATATATATATATATATATATATATATATATATATATATATATATATATATATATATATATATATATATATATATATATATATATATATATATATGTATATTAAAAGCATTTCGATATCGCCCGTAACCATCAGATATCTATATAGATAATTAAATACTTGAGTTCTTCATATCGTTATTATTATTTAAGCTTCTACTCGCGACGTCGTTCGTGTGACCGGGATATGGGCAATACTAGGATGAAAAGTAGCCAATAGAATTATCCGTCTTATATAATACGTGTATACCAAATTTCATAGTTGTATTTGCGTAGATTTACAGTAGATATTTGTTTACGAATATTTGGGTGAAGAAATACATCGAACACAATCAAACGAGGTATCAGACCTTTTTAACCTTATTTGAGATAAAAGGAGTTGATGTAACCTCATATGATACTAAATATTTATATTATAGTTATCTACTGTATTGAAATAAGTACTAGGAACGAATGCTTATTTGAATTATGTATGTTTTGTTTTGTATTTAAAGCAGGGGGGCTATTTATCCAGTTGTGGGCGAGCATTAATTTAACTCTAGACACAGATCCGCTCCCAAGGGCGACCATCGATTTTAGAGCTAGCGAATACTTTATGTTCAGTTTGGATTCATTGTTTAGCAAACTGGATTTTACTTCACATTTAAGAATATTCATTAGCAAATAAATTATTATGTATGTTGGGAAATAACGGTATTTTTGGACGAAAATCAGCAGAGAACAGGCCTTGGAACAGTATTTAAGTATTATTTAATATAGCTTGTCTTAAACATTAAAAAATAATCGAGTATTATTTGATCTGCTTTAATAATCTTTTTTTCTGTTAAGTCGAAAATTGTTTCATTATTAAAAAATACAGTAGGTTAGTATTCAATGAAACATCGATTCGGTCTGCTACGAAATAATACGCCAACGATTTCCAACACGACAATAATAAAAATTAATGTACAGTTTTATTTTGAAATTATTTTTGGAAATAAAAATATTGAATTAAGTGATAAAGCGAGGCACCTATATTAGATTTTTTAAGCAAAAGATACCTATTTATTATGTTTAAAGGCAGAATGTGTTTCTCTTAAAAAATATTATATAGTATTTGTTTGTATAAACAGCAATTAGACTTCATATTTATTTAATTATTTTATAGTTTCTCGACAATGTTTAATTTTTTTGGTGTCTATGTAATGCATTTATGAATATACTATATATATTTAAAGATAAAGAGGAAAAGAATAAATTTTAAATAGAATAATTTATTCAACCATGAAGCATTACGAGTTTTGATGTAAAATCCACTTATATTTATTCCTTGTACTGTCTGAATGTATTTATTAAACACGAGTGGGTTTTAAGCGTATATTAATTGCACTATTAATTCGAAATGTTGAATCAATAAAATACATACAGGGTTTAAAAACATAACTAATAATTTGAGAGTGGAGAGAGGGATACTAAAATACAAACTTAAAAATATTTGTGTGTTGTCCATGTGTGAATAATGTTCATTATCTGACAGTAAAAATCAGAATTTATCATATCAATGGAGCCGTATTAGTTTTTGACAAACTAATACGACAAATTGACATAATCCAGTAGCGCAGAAATAATTGACGATTATGTATATACCTACATTTATGTTTTTATAGTATGGTACTATGGTCTTATTTTAGGTTAAGACAATTCTTATTTGAGTATAATGCCATTTAAGATTTTTACAAATACACAAAACTTACTTTTTACAATTGGGTAGAACTAACTGGCTGGTCTGCTTGGTGGCTTCGACGCAAGCGCGGCGCAATCTGCGCACGCGCTCGCGTAGTTCCGGACAGTCGTGCGGCTGCCCGATGTGGATCAGCAGGTCGCGGAATAACGCCAGCTGTACGTTGATCTCCGTTATTAACTGGAGACAATAGAAAATAGAATTCAATTTGCGATTTCACTTCTTTATCGGCCTTATCGGGGCGATTTTTTGACGGCGTTTCGACAGCGAAAAGTACAGTCATCGAAGTATCGAGTCATTAGAGTTGTAGCACTAAACATAGCCATCACATTTTCATCTATCGAAAAAAAGTTATCTATTGACGTTAATCGTATCAGCCATCAACTGTCCATTTCCTTCTCCATATAGGGGGGTTTGCCAGCAGTTGTCACACATGGCAGGCAAGTTGGCAATCGCAGTTAGGCTTTGATGTTTTAAGAAGGACACAATTGCCCATCTCTCGACTATTAAGTTCCATTAGTCGCCTCCCCCGACACCTACGGGGAAGTAAGGGAAAAGTATTGACATGGACAGATCTGAGGAAATTGTAACTACTGTACCCTTTAAAAACTATGATATTAATATTAGTTAAGAAACTATAGTTATATTTTTTTTGCAAATAAATCTCATTTCCCTTCAATAATAACTTATATTTGATAAATATTCTACATCAATTGATATTATTAGAAAATCGTTTGTACTCTTCCACAAAAAAGATGTTATAATATATACCTGACCGGTTTCGTCGTTTAGGGCATTTTCAAAATATTATTATTTTACATTAGTTTTTTCCCGTGAAAAGTTTTGAGAAACCGGTAATTTATATGATATATTGAGATACTGGTCTGGTATAATATTATCATTCCTTTTTTGTGGAAGAGTACATGTCTCTTTCTAATAATATTAATATGTACACAAAGTTATACCAAGTCTCATCAATTACGACTCAATATATCTCATATCTACTTATTCAAATTATTTCTCATTTGAAGAAAATATAAGCCTATTTTAAATACCTATATGATGGAACTATGAGTATGTTTAACTGGAATTTAAGTCGTTTTTATTTGAAGACGGTTAAAATGTTCGTTTTCTGTCGATTCCATGGGTGCTCCTTAAAATCCTTATAAAGTGGACACCTATGTCACAGAGGAAGAGGAATCTCTGAGTGACATATTATTAATATAATAAAATTGTAACTGGGCAATGTCTATAAATAGAAGACTTTCAAGAGAAATTGATATGAGAGGTTTCGATAGGAGCAATAGAAGCTATACAACTATACAATTTTCAGCATTTTGTCTGTCTGTATGTTTGTTCCAGCATCTCGTAAATATCAAATTAAATGTAGTTTTCTCTGTTATCTTCCTAACTAAAGCTAAAAAACTGGTTTATTTCTATCTAGATTGATACGCTATCTAGAAGTGACCTAGTTTATTGGTTTTTCTACTTTCAAAATCCACGCTTACGCTGCCACTTCGGTAGGCAAAAAGCTAATTCTATATACATGTAATTGAAGAGTATTGCAGTATAGGAAATTTTGTTGTCAGTAAGTATATACCTAACCAATAGATTATATATAAATCATAGATGGAGCGTCGAGTGATAAAAAACGTGTCAAAAACGGATGTGCAGTATAATTTTTACAAATGTAGATATTTTTTGCTATTGTTCGCAAAAGTCTAAAAGTAAAGCAAGTAATAGGGAGACATTCTATCTGTCTTTGATGAATATATTTTAAGAATGAAATGAATTGTCATGAAAATGAAATATCCCAATATTCTAAGAATCAGATCGAACGGAAAATTATATCTATTTGAATATAAAACACTATAAAATGTTTATTCGTTAGTTAGTACATGCATTATCCCATTTTTCACTTCAAAATAGATTGGTTTTCTTTTTCGGTTTATTTTTTTGTTTATGTAATACATTTAAATTATCGTTAAAGTCTAATAAAGTATTTTTCATCCGAGATATTATTTAAAGATTTAAGATAGATTTAAAATGCTATTATACAATTTTTAGAAAAATTATTAAAAAATATACAAAATTATTGCAGCATAATAGCCCATTCGAGGGGTGACCACATCCCTTAATAGGCTTCAGCGTGTTTAATCTTCTATTGGGCTAAAGGAAAATGTACCATAAATTTTAATAATTGTTCAAAGGGTATAATATTGACATTGATTAACTAATTTCGTAGGTAAACTTCACTGAGAGAGTGAATTAATTAACCTTTCTATTGGTCTTATGCTATTATAGGAGGGATTTTATCCCAATAAATATTAGGAAAGAACAGGTACAAAATTATCTAATGTTAGATAAGCTTAGGCTTAAGGATTTTTGGGTTTTGAATAGGACGTATGTTTGTATACCAATACTATTATAATAATAATACTAATATCATATGAGGAGCATACTAGAGGAGGCGATTCTAGAGATCCGAAGAACTCCCCTCGAAGAGAGACCGAAGCTTCCCCGGATATATCCAAATGTGGCGACGCGGGATGCCATTAAGGCCACAAATGGACTGCTGCCTCAGTACCTTGAGGGCAGCGGTGACCTGGGAGAGACGAGTTCAATCCTGTTTGGCGCTGCGTTGGCAGTATGCCGATATACCGGCGCAAAAATGCCCCGGGCTGGACGTAATATCCAAAGGGATAATATGAAACCAGCCTGGAAAAGAAGGATTGAACGACGGATCGCTCAGGCCAGAGTCCTCATTGGTAGACTGCTCTGCTTCAGGGAGGGCAACACACGCCCGAGAATTATGCGCTCCGTAAAAGAGGCCTTTGCTGGGACAGGTGTACGTCTGTTCCAGCCGGACTTCGGGCACAAACTTACGGAGCGCATAGATGAACTGAAGCAGAAGATCGCTGCATGGGGGAAGCGATCCGACGGTACTCTGAGAGGGTTGAGAGGTATCAACAGAATCGCCTCTTTATGAGTGATCAACGGAAGTTTTATAGGAACTTGGAGCGCCCAAAACTACAGCCCACAGGACAAAGACCCGAAACAGCCAATTTCGTCGCCTTCTGGAGACAGCTGTGGTCTGAACCTGTGGAACATGAGGAGGGCGCATGGATGCACGATGTTGAGGAAGCATGTGCTCGAATAACGCCGATGAACGCCATTGCCATTACGGAGGAAGACGTGGTTGCCGCGATTCGTCGGGCTCCGAACTGGAAAAGTCCGGGGATCGACGGATTGCAGCACTACTGGTTAAAGGCGTTCTCGGCCAGCCATGCGACCTTAGCCGTGCAATTCCAGAGTGCCCTCGAAAACAGGACGCTCCCGAACTTCCTTACAATCGGGATCACTCATTTAGCTCCTAAGACGGACGATACCGCGGATCCATCTAAATATCGCCCCATCACTTGTCTTACGACAATATATAAGACGTTAACATCCGTTCTGAGCGCTAAGATCTCTCGTCATGTGTACGAGATTAAGATCCTATCTAGCGCTCAGAACGGATGCAGGGGCGGTATTAAGGAGCTGCTCCTCATTGATGCTGTCGCTGGCCACGTGGTCAAGCGGAACCGTCGGAATTTCTCCGCCGCCTGGATAGATTATAAAAAGGCGTTCGATTCCGTGCCCCATTCATGGCTCCGGAGGATACTCGAGCTGTACAAGATCGACGGTACAGTTCGAGTGTTCTTGGAGGCATGCATGAGGCAGTGGACGACGATCCTGACTATCCAGGGCGAGCGATTGACGGATACCGCTGACCGGATAGAGATAAAGAGAGGAATATTCCAGGGCGATTGTTTGAGTCCACTTTGGTTTTGCCTGTCCCTGAATCCACTCAGTACTTTACTGGAGAATTCGGGGACTGGATTTCAGTATCGGAGAGGAGGTACACGAGTGTCTCACCTTCTGTACATGGATGACTGGAAACTGCTAGCTCCGAGCATCGAACGCCTGACGGAGCTGCTAAATATCGTAAACGATTATAGCAGCTCTATTAGGATGGCGCTCGGAATAGACAAGTGCGCGGTCCTCCATGTGCAGAGGGGACGGGTCACTCAAACTGAAGGGATCGCCACAGATCCCTCTAATATTAAAACCCTCTCCGAGGCTGAAACATACCGGTATCTGGGCATGTCACAAAACATCGGTGTGAAGGAGACGGATATGAAACAGTCAGTCCGCGAGGAATTTTTTGCGCGCCTTACAAGAGTACTGAAAAGTTCTTTGTCGGGCGCCAATAAAATCCGAGCTTATAACGGCTGGGTCATACCCGTACTCCTTTACACTTTTGGCGTGCTCAGATGGTCTCAAACCGAACTCGAAGCCCTGGATCGGAAAGTCCGCACAACTATGACCCTCCATAGAATGCATCACCCGAAATCGTCAGTCATGAGGCTGTATATCCCGCGGAAAGCTGGTGGTCGAGGCTTGTTAAGCGTTAAGACCATGCACAACCGCGAGATTGACAGCCTCAGGACATATTTTCTGGAGAAAAGAGACGAGGGTTTGCATAGAGAGGTCATAGAATGTGACAAAGGATTCACCCTCTTTCTCTGGCTAAAGAGGACTGGCGAAAACCCGAAGTTTTGGGTACCTCTCAGCGGGAGGCCGTATGGAAAGAGAAGGAGTTGCACGGAAGGTTCTTCAAAGCCCTTCACGGGCCGTACGTAAACACGAAGACCTCCGTGCACTGGCTACAGTTCGGTGATCTCTTCAGAGAGACCGAGGGTTTTGTCTGTGCAATACAGGATCAGGTGGTTAAGACGAACAATTACCGAAAGCACATTCTGAAGGATGGCACTGAGGACATCTGTCGAGCATGTCGCCATCCCGGAGAGTCACTCAGACATGTGCTTTCGGGTTGTTCAGCTCTTGCCAACACTGAGTACTTGCACAGACACAACCAGGTAGCCAAAATACTCCATCAAGAGCTAGCTCTGAAGTACGGCCTCGCGAATGAGAGGTTGCCGTACTATAAGTATGAGCCCCAGCCGGTCTTCGAAAGCGACAGCGTAAGGCTACTGGGACCGATCCATCATCACGGACAGGACCGTTCTTGCGAACAAACCTGATATCGTGGTGATGGATCGGGCACTCTCGAGGGTGTTTTTGGTGGATGTCACCATACCGCATGACGAGAACCTCGTGAAAGCCGAAACCGAGAA